TGGAACTTGAAAGCTCTCCTTAAGCTGACATGTATAGTAAATAAGTAAACAAATAGGAAAGAGATTATAGGATTTACAACTGTACCATCTTTCTTCCACGCATTTTTACAGTGTCACTGATGACATCACTTCTGAAAAAATTAATGCCAATGAGTATAAATCAAGTAGCTAAGGACCTACCTGGTACATGATCAAAACTGTATTCTGCTCCAAATTCATTTACTTTTGTCTACATATTAGTTGAACTCTTTAAAAGCATTACAATATTCTATATTCTATTAATTTTAAAGGAATAAACAAGTTCCAAACATTTTAATAGTTTAGAGTGTTTTAAAAGGCAGTATACTTCTCTGCATTCAACTAAAACATTATTTAGCACATGAAAGTTAAATGGTAGAATGTTAAAGCCAAAGACAGAGAGAGACCAGACGTTCTACTTCACATTGACCTGGGAAATAATGTTTATTGGAATAGGATAGACTAGAACAGTTTAGAAAAGTAATGTAAGAGCCATGTAAGTCATATTGAAAGTATCAACACAGCTTTAAAAACTGGTGTCAAAAATGAGCTAGAGATGTGAAATCTCACCTAATATACTCAATATTGAAGAGGCAAATGTGATACCAGACTTTAAAGATGCTATAATATTGAGATCTAAAACTTAATGTGTTAGAATGTCCTCACCAAAATGATATTCCAGTGCCCAACAGCTATTAACTAGATTTTAGAATTTCATTCACACTAAATCAATTAGTCAAATTTTATATGAATAATAAATCAAATTTAGTGTCTGATCAAAGGGGATTACAGCCTCCAGGAACTTATGTTCTCCGTCCAATAGTGCAAACAAACAGATCAAAACATCTTTAGAGAGATTAATGCAAGGTTTGTACTCACAATGGGACTACAGTAACACTTTCACAAGCACTGTCCAGAAGTCAATACACACTAATCAGAAAACTGGCATGAGAGCGTTCCTGTGGAACACTGGATACAAACCAGACTACAGATATTATCTAAAGGTATTAATGTCTTCTACCAAGTAGATTATATTAATTAAAAAAGAAAAAAAAAAGACAAAGGTGTGATTCATAAGGCAGCTTTTGCCTTTTCTAGTAACAGTAGCTTGATAGAAAGCAAAGAAAGCAAGTAATTTGCTCATTAACTTAGCAAAGAAACAAAGTGGAGTCAAATAATATTAAATTTACTTGCTAAAATGTTTAACAGGTCACTTTGCTTTCTCTATTTGGATTTATTCTAAAATTCTTACTTGCCAATCTCTCTTGTACTGGAGATCCCAGAACTGGACACAGTACCCTGGGTGTAGCCTCACCAGTGCTGAGCAGAGGGGAAGGATCATCTCCTTCCACCTGCTGGAAACACTCCTAATGCTGCCCAGGATGCCATTGGCCCATATTGCTGCAAGGGCACTTTGCTGGCTCATATTCAGCCTGGTCCCCAAACATATTAATGGGATTATTCCACCCCAGGTAGAGGGCTTTGAACTTCTTGTTGAACTGATATCAACTGTCAGTCCATCTCTCCAGCCTGTCAAGGTTCCACCTTCCCAAGGATTGAGGTGGGGTGGCCAGGCTTATAGTTCCCTTGGTCCTCCTTCCTGCCCTTCTGGAGGATAGGAGTGGCATTTGCTTTTCTCCAGTTCTCAGGTACCTCTGCCTGTCATTAGGATAGTTCAAAGTCACCTCACAACATCAGCCAGCTCCCTCAGCACTTGTGGGTGCATCACACCAAGGCCCATGGACATGTGTATGTCCAGTTTGCTTAAGTATTGCCTGACCTGATCCTCTTCCACTGGTGCTCTCCATGAACCTCCTGGATTGCTTACACCCTGCTGTGTTGTCCCTATAACAGGCATTAGGGTGGCTAAAGTCCCCCCTGAAGACCAGGGACTGCAAATGTGAGGCTACTTCTAGCTGTAGAAGGCCTCATCCACTCTTCCCTTCCTCCTGATCAGGCAGCCCATAGCAGACACCCACTGCAATGTCACCCACGTTGCTTGGTTATTTACAGACAGCTCTAAATGCTGATGCCCTTTAGAAAAATCTGTAGTCCCTCAGTGGTTCAGAGACTACAGGCTGAAAACATTGTCTAAATCAATGCCAAACTGACATCCTGGACAGTCCTGCAAAACTGATCCTTTTTCCAAGCAGGAGGCAGCTACATACAGATACTACTTCACAGAATGCCACTGAATGCATACAGCTGGCTACCACAGCAAAAGCTGTGGCTAGCTGATGGGCTCTGCTAGTTTCAGACCTATTACTTAAGAGATTTTAAAAGTTTGTTAAAATTATCATTAAATTGTCTTTTATTAAGGCAGCTAATAACAGCCTTCACTACACCTGGGGAAAAGATTCAGCACTGGTTTAACAGGCAGAATGTAAATAGAGTTGAGGCACTTCCACCTCCTCTAAGAGCACCCCTTGTCTTGGTATCTTGTTTTGATTTACAAAAGCTTCTCTGTAGATGACTACAAAAAGGCACACAGATGCAACGGAAAGTCAAACACAAAGACCACTGCATATTCTTTAAAAAAGGTTCCGTATTGGCTGTACTTTCTTTAGGAATATTATCACACTGTGAATGTCTTTAATCTATATGGCTCCCTCTTGTGCCTATTATACCACATTTCAGCGTACAAAAAAAACCCCTAACATTGTCATAAATATTTGGGCTCTGTTCACCCTTCAGTAGGCATGCAGTGCCCATAAATGTTAATAGAAGTCACACACATACCTTCCAGGAGAAAAGAAAACCCCATAGTTTCCAAAACTTCTCTTTGGAACAAACTACAAAAACATCTTGCAAACTACAAGTCTGCTGCGATGAAAGTACTTTTTTACCACTCACTGTATTTTGATAGCAATGCAGGGGCCAAATAATGCACTTTAAAGTGCATCTGCAAGAAGTTTTAACTATCTTTTAGTTATCAAATTACATATGTTTAGAAGGCTGTCAGTGTGGTTTAAATAGCCTGGTTAACATGCTCAAGGATTTATTTTTGTCTACTCAACATCCCACCTGTTTCTGCTTATCAAGCCAGATGACAGTTTAGCCTGCAACAGCTGTGAACTGCATAAAATCTGCCCATTTCTCATGTGTATCCAGACTAAGCAGTTAGAGCAGCATTCTGAGAAAGCCACCCTTTTAGAGAAGCTATGGAAATAAAACAGACCAGCACTTGTCAAACTGTTTAAAACTGCACACCTCTCAGAAGCCAAATTATTTTAATAACAGTCTAGCAATACTATTTGGAAAGAAAATTAAGCATTTGAAGAAATTATTTGTTAACCCTTTCATTCCCCTGGCCATTATAAACATTTTGCAGACTAACATTGCTGCAAAGGAATTAAAAAATTTTGCCTGCACAAAATACTCCCTTTTTTGGTGTCATCAAATTTCAACAAAACACCTTTTATTTTGAGATCTTACTAGTTTTACTTTCTGCAGTTGAACAGCTAATCTAATAAATCTAAGTATAGTAATAAGACTTTTGTATTACAAAAAGTGTAATTGCAAATTTTAAAAAATATTAGTCTACATACCTGAAGCAATATCAAAAACCTGGTCAAATAGGACAGCTTTTGTTAAAATGCTATGTAGTACTGAATGAAATTATGGTATATAAAAATCTAACATTCATAAAGCTTGCAGAGTACACTGCCTTTAACAGGAAAGTGGTTTTGCTTTGTTGTTTTGGTTTTTTTTCATTTATACAATAAATTCTTCTCTCCCCACCTCTTCTTCCCTTTTCCATATACTCATGAATTACCCTTAGCACTAGTGCTTTGTGGATCAGCTGTTCAGAACATGATGAATGCATGCAAGATGATGATAAATTCATTATTGCTTTTCTTAATAATGAGAAATGATTCTTTGCTTTAGGGAAGAAAGAGGCTTTTTTTTTTCTATGAACTTTTTTTCCCCCACCATTTAATAAATTACAAGCTTTTATTTTTGCAAGCAAAAACAGAAACCAAAGTTTTAAAACATCCCTCTGAGTTTTCATCAAACACATTAATAATAGATAGTCAGTACATTCACTTGGCACTCCTGGAGCCAGATGAAATTATATCTCTTCCTAATGTGACATTTGCTCAATACTAGTGAAGAAACATTAAGCTGAAATTGTGGTTATGTGGCAGTGCTGAAACATGGCACCAAACAACCAGAACACACCTAAAATTCAGGTGTGTTCTCCAAAGAACAAATCAGACAAACTATTCCTACCTGATTTATCTTCATGCTCACATTCAACATGAAACAACAGCTATATTATATAAGAATATAAAACAAGCAATAAAGTACTTGTGAGGAGAATTAAAAAAAAAAATCTTGTCTAGATTTCTGACCAGAAGTCACATTTAACAATTCATACAAAAGGTAACAGTACAGTGCTAAACACTTTCTTGAATATACTAATGTAAAGCTCAAAAAGATGGCCATTTAAATACTGTTTCCACAAAGGTTTCCCATTGCTGCAAACCAAACTGAACTGCATCAGTCTCAAAAATATAAGACTGAGAAGTCTTCTTCCATGAGTTGCCATATCAGCTCCCATATCAGAATATATAACAGGGCAGAGAATTACAGGCTTGTTACCATCTACAGCATATCACTATCACTGGGCTTCTAAAGACAGTCTTCCTCTAAAGTAATCTCATGTACATTATTTTCTTTGATCAAACTGTAGCTTTTCTTACTCTTAGCAGCATGGACTTTGATGCAGAATATAAATTATTTTTAGAGAGATGTTACTTTGACCGTATGAGCTTAAGTCTTACACAAATTACCTTTTATTAGCTTTAAGAGACAATAAGAGAAATAGCATTATTTGCCAGCCTTAAACAGAAATTGCTTTAATGATTCAACCCTTTAAGAGCAGTACACTTACTTTATTATTTAGCATCCCTGTTTTCACAACTGCCTCCATAATAATGAGAACAATGTGTATTATATACCACATTTAAGATGCTTACCTGAATAACTTTGTAGAAATAGGCATACTGTCGAGCTGTATTTTTATATTGGCTAAAAACATCATGTATGGCCTGAGTTGACTGAAGATACTGCACTTCATCCTCTTCAAAATAGAGAGGTGTGTCATATTCACTGGGAAGTGTCTGGATGTAGGGCAGCCAGAAAGAGTTGGGGTTGGCTCTCTCACAGAGAAGATGGAATGCCAGTGTTATATTGCCCATGGCTTGAAGAATTCGATCTTGAGAATACAGAGATCCTGAATTAACCCAGAAAGGTGAGACACTGATTAGCTGTTCATAGAAAATATCATCCTAGATTTACTTTAAATGAAAATGATATGATCCATAAGAATTTTCAACAACAAAAACTTTTTAGTTTTCTAAAATATTTAGCTGCCCACATTGTCTTATGCTGCAAGTTAGTTGACACAGTAAATGCCTCATGTACAACTGCATACTGGAAGACATGAAGACACTAGAACAATGCTCTCAGTACCTCAGAACATTTTATCTCCAAGTGTTATACACAAGCTACACGACATATGTTCAAAAGAAAAGACACACATTTCTGGAAGATGTCTAGTGTGCTCAGCCAGAAACAAAGAGGAAAAGTAAATTATTCCACTAAGTTTCTAGGTATTCCAAACTGGATGGTTGGCATAATAAGCAAGTCCTGCAACAAAGGAGATCAACTGAAAAAAAAATAATAAAAAATCTCCTGCTGTATGATCCTATACATATCAGCCTCTTGTTTAAGAACTTCCTTAAGCTCTTACCTAATACTGAATTTTTAGCTGACTCAACTGTCATCAACAGTTTTCTAGGAACCCATAGAAACAACTCTTCAGCCTACAGAAAGAAAAAAATGCAGAGGGTCAGTTAGCATTTAGCATTTATATGACATGCCAAGTGTATCAAATATACATATTGTCTTTAAATCACACATTGTTGGGTTTTTTTCCTAATTGAAATTATTCTGAATCAAAATTCTTCCATCTCTTTCACTGCAAATTAAACAAATATGCTATGTTTCATATTGTGGTAACCAAATGTTCCAATTTGCATTACACAAAGCTTAAAACAAAGGCAGATCACAAAATAAAGTGTTTCAGTTTGGAACTGCTAACATGTACATTGCCCACATAGCCTCAAAGCTACTAAATACATCATATTGCTATTACATGATCAAATATTTTCTCCCAGTAGAGGTTTTTTCACATTGTCCATTCTTATTTTAGAACTGTTTGGGATTTTTATCAATCAGTAGTTCTAGCCCTAGCAGTAGTGCTAGCCCTAGCACTAGTGCTTCTAAAGCCCGAGAAAGAATATAATAGGCTCATTTTCTATTATTCTTTCTACAACAGCTGACTGCTCTTCAAAGCTGTTTCCCATCTGTAAAATAGGAATGGAAAGAGGCAATCTTAAATGCTTAACTTCTAACAGTTTTCCAACCATGTGCATCTATATTCATTACCTGATGATCAATATATACTCTTTACAATTATCAGGTAATTTTGTTTTGGTTTTCCTTTTCATTTTCTCTAGAAAATAAGTATTGCAAATACCTCTTTCTGAGGCAGTAAGACCAGTGCTTTAAGAGAAGAGACATGAAAGAAGAGAAGAGACTAAGCAGTTAGAAAACACAGAAGAGAGGGATATATCAATGGGGAGAATACTCTGGTGATTAGGTAAACAGTATAGGCAACAAAGAGGGGGCGGAAAGACTGATTAAAAACACACAGATGTATCCAATAATCACAAAAAATAATATTCAATTTTATCCATAATTTTATTTCTCAAGTATACAGAGTCGAGTGTGTTTCAGAACAGCAGTTTCTTCAGCAAAGGGGAAAGGGAAGGTAGTGAGTGTTTTAGAGCCCTGCAACTACATTCCAAACACGATTTTCTAATCTAAGTCAAATGTTCACATGCTCACCTTTATCTCTCTTGTTGCTTTCAAACCAAAGCCCTCCTCTTCAAAGTTAGCTATTTCAAAACCCTCTGTGGATGCTCCATTTTCAGTTGCCCACTTTATCAGTTCAGGGAAATAGTCATCTCTTTTTCCATCAAAGATAACTGACAGACCTATGTACACAATTTATTAAAAAAAAAATGCAGAAATAAAAGGATCTAGAAAGATAAAGAAGCTCAATATAAAAGCACATGTAAAAAAGCTATCCACTATCCCACAGCAGTTCTACTTTGAAGTAGCTGAGTCAGAACTGCTCTTTGTTAAGTGTTACTCAATAGTGTAACAAATGTCATACCCAATTTTCAACAACTTAAATATTCTGCAAAATTGTTGTCTTAAAAACATGAGCACCTAAAGCTCCCCTCCTCTTTCTCTTTTAAATAAGCTGAGTGAAAATATTTCCCAGCTTAATACTGATGAAAATTCAATCCCCACAACATGTTAATACAGACACAAGGAGGAAACTGAGAGGCAAGCTGCAATTTCATTAATTCAGCACTGGAAACAATTATAAGCAGATCTCAAGCTCCTTCTCTCACATACAAGGCAGTTAGCTTTTTCCTGCAGCATATGGACCTATTAAAATAACTAAGGACTGATCATCCTCCTGACATCACAGAGCTCATCCAAATTTTTACACTTCGCTTCTGCATCAGGCACGTGGCCAACCAGTGAAATCACAAGTCTCATTCATTTCTTCAGCTTTCCCTTTTACTATAACCTGATTTGAACCTACGCATTTTAGTTCCCAGCTACACTCAGCCAGCTCCTGTTGTACCTCTTTGCCTCTGTGCTCTCTTCAACTCAAACTCTCATGTCAGGTCACATTAAGTGTCCCAACACCCCCTAAATGCTCAGGCCCTTTTATGTGTGACAAAACATCAGCAGCAAGTTGTTTACATCCCAAGTTTTTTGGTTAAGCACAAGTGAAAACCACATCTTTAGATTAAAAGGATTTTAAGAAAGTAGCATTAGTGTATTTGAAATATTCCCCTCCTTCAAATCACACATTTCAAGCCCCAGAACCAATCAAATCTGTAGTTAACATAGAAATGCTAGTACCATCTAAAACTACAGGCTTTGATGATGCAGTATAAACACTTAATACTGCTGAAGTTTTTGGTTTTTTTTTAATGCAGTAAGAATATGGTGACATTTTTTTAAAGCTGGCATTTCTCCTTTATTTCATACTGCCTTCAGTATGCTATCTTCTGTGGAACACATTCAGAGCTAAGGCCTCAGAAATTTAGTAACACCAGTTGTGTAGCTTTTACAGAGCTTGATAGGAGTTCATGCTGTTCAGGACTTTGCTCCTTTGATTTCCAACACTGAGTACTGTATAAGGGTACTCAAAGCTTTTAACCAGTTTTTAATCCAGCTTGTATTTGAAACCATTATACAAGCATCTCTGAAATTCTCCCTCTCTTCCTCATATATGATGTCGTTCAATACTTTCCACATTTTTCCAAATTAAAGGAAGAACCAGCTCCTTTAAATTGCAAGCACTATTGAGGAACAATTTATTTCTACACATAACATAAAATACAGCTATACTGATGAAAACTTATATTGAGAAAAAATTGCTTTCTTTAAAATTTTGCTGATTAGTCAAATGCGGAAAAAATTTAGAAGGTAAAAATACTCAGTTTTGAAATGAAGAATTTTCTATCATCAAGACCATTTTAGTTCACGTTCTGCAACCCAGTGTTCTGCTCCAAGATAAGCACAAGTACAACACTTCAGGCAATATATTAATTTGTACATCCTAGAGTTCCCCAAAGCAATTTCTACTTCCTTTGCTAATTGCTTAAAGCTTTTATTAAGCTAGAAAATAGTGTAGAATAAATTACTTCGTTCCATTAAAAAAGAAGTTTGAAAAGACACCAATACTATTCATACTCACTATGTGTGTAAAAGTGTTACATTAAAAGCCAGTTGTACGTTAACAGTGCTGTGCTTAGTAGGTTTTGCATCTTTCAAGGAAAAAAAATACATTCTATTAACATTATTATACTGCTATACTAATTTTACTGCTTCTTCCAGCAGCTGTTTTCGCCATGAATGTTTCAATCTTTCTGACAGAGAAGAAAGATACAGTGAACAGCCTAACCCTAATGCTAACTCTATTTTTGTTAACCTGAATTATGTTTTAACATAACACATCATAAAAAGCAGGACATGTACCATACATTTATAAAAGTCACAGGACAGCAAAACAACGAGTCAAGTTCATATCTACAGAGCTACAGAAAGGAGTCACTCAAAAAGTATCGTCCATGCTTTCATATGCCCTCTGCCAGTAACTGATGCTCACAGGTTTAAACATCCTTTCATGAAGTAAGATTTTTATGTCTTAGTCAAAATTATTAAAAGCAGGTATGAAAATAACATTTCAAGCCTCTAAGTACAGTCTTCTGCTTTTTCAAGTGACTGCATGAACCACTCAAGCTCTACTTTAAATGCTGTCAGGCTTTTTGCCATAAACATATAAACATCAGAAAATAAATAATTGTTATTTCTCTGCCATTAAAATACAACAGTCATAAAAAAGGTTACTTTTACTAAAATTACCAAAAAATGCATTTTTAAGAGCATACTTCCAAATAAAAACAAAGCTAATACGAAAATAAATATCAGTAACAGTGAGTTGTTGCAGAACATACTGAAAGAAAACTGTTCTAATTTGAAAAATAAGCATACCTTAAATTTAGGAAAATTGGCAATAAAACTCCAATTTAACTATGGTACCATAAGCATTTATTTATTTTAATTATGTACAGATAGATTTATTAGCTGACATATTTACTTTGTGTTTACTTTTTTGTTGGTGTTGTAATTTGATGTCATGATATTGAATTGCAGAAACTTTTCACATCCAGTAAAGTGTTCAGGTTAAAAACAGTTAAAAAATTAATTCAAAACATTCAGATTCATGGAGGCAGAGGGGCAGACTGTGCAATCAGGAATAAAAAAGGCCTGTTTATTCTCAAAAGATTTTTACTTCTAGCCTTTCAGACTGTCATCTCATCACAATTTCAAACTCTTTTTTTCTACTTATCGAACAGAATTATAACAGGATCAAACATCTGTGATATTCACTCAGAATTATAAGCATTGAAGTAAGTATATATAAGTATTAAAACTATTAATGCCAGTGGCCATGCCCACCACAACATCTCAGAAACACCTGCAAGTGTAAAAAGAAACTGCATGTCAGACAATTAAGGTTTTTATCCCAAAATAATAGGATTGCATAATATTTCTATGACAACAACAAAAATATTCCTTTTAGCTGCCAGCAGACAACTCTTTAGGCAAATCAATACTCTGAGCCACCCTTATCTTATAGGCTTTCACATTTACCTTTTTGCTTTTTGCGAATTTTCTCAACAAGTGAACGAATCTGTACATATTCTTCCCATTCCTTACCAGGACCTGGGGTAGGACTGCTGCATTCTGGAAATAAAAATTAAAATGTTTTATTTAGTAAAATGTATATATATTTTTGGACATTAAAGAAAAGGTCATGGTTTCATAGCAACTTTAACTGAACCTTAGTACTACTTGTCTTTCAAACATGTTTATGCAGTGAACACTACAGAATTAGTTGTTATAAGCAATAGATTATTTTAGAATTTTCACAGTATAACTTGCCTGAAGTTGCTGTTTTTTCTTTTCATACAATTTCAGATTTAAGACATACCAAATTTTAAAAAAGCTAGAAAGAAATCAAAGGTAAACAACCAGACCATTAATAGATAGTCCCTCAGATAAGACAAACAAAAGTCTGGTTTTAATAATCCAAGCAAAATATACTGTTTACATTAGCCTGCTTACCAACATTCTTGCTCAAATAAAAGCAGATTATAATAGCCCAGACCTTACCTTAAGTGATTGAGAAATTTGCTGGTACACACATTTGACCTGCCTAGTCAATACTGTTTTCACAGATGCATGTGTAGTGCAGGGACAAGCAAAGGAATACTTAGCCAAGCTTCAGCTTCAGATTATATTCACAGTCTCTCTGACAATATTGTAAATGCCAGTGTGTGGATTTCTTGATCTAAACCACAAAAATTCAAGTGGACAGCTGAAGATTACCTTACTCAATTGATTTGAAAAATCTTTGTGTTGAATAAATATGGGAGCTTGACAAAAAGAACAGCTGATACTTGTTTTGCTTAGAAAATTAGATCTACATTTTATTTTTGGTAGCAAAGCAGAGGCCAACTGCAGCATAAGTATCAAACTGTTCTGCCAACTCCTCTTCTCCTCTCTGTGAGCAATGCTAGAGAAAAAACTCTAATTTTTCTAAGGCAACATTTAGATGTGTTGATGATATGAAAATTTGGACTTTTGTCTCAATAATAAGTTTAGCTTAGCACAGTTACTCATGACAAAAGAGTGAACACTATTTTAACATCATCAGATGAAGTTATGTTCCACTTTTCATATTTACTAGAAATAATGGACAAGTTTCAAGTTCCTCAACAGGTGAAACAACTTTTGGTCTGTACACAAGAACTAAGCACTTCCAAACAGCAACAACAACAAAAAATGCATACTTAAATAAGCCACTAATGTTACATACTGACAGAGAAAGATACTGTAAGATACACAGTATACTATCTTAAGCAGGATGAAATAGCAAGGTTGGCCACCTTCAATGAATATAATTCATTGGTTTCAACAAGAGAACGTTTCTAAGTGGTCTGCACGACATCCCTGTTCCTAGAGAGGCAAAAAAAAAACTTACTTTGCAATAACTCACTAATTAGATTCAACATTTCCTTTGGAGATACAGTTGCTGTGGCTCCTGTACCCGACTTCTGAGTTTTTACTCGACTCTTCTTCCCCATCTTCCTACTAAAACAGAGTAAGAATCACACTGTCACAAATTACTAAGAAACAAAATCCAATCACAATGAATGACAAATATCTTCTTTTTATTCACTTAAAAAAAGAGGATGAAAAGTTGTTTCTGGCCAATATATATGTGCAAGTATTATTTGCATGGCCTGAATATAAGACAACCACACACTGCAATCTGAAGCAATATTTCATGTAGTTAGTTGCACATTAATTACCTCAGGGTAATTAGAAACTATAATCTTAGAGCGAAAAAAAAATATCTTTCAGATAATTTGCAAATTCACTAGTTGTGAAGAAATATTATGGATACCAAAGTATCCATGCTACATAAAACCAGGTTATTTTACCTTATCAGCTGAACTGCAGACAGCTGCTGAATTAGTGTTTGTGACTGCAATAAAACAGTAATTCAAAAAGAATAGAAGATTAAGTATTCCACTTCAAAATAAAAGTATCATATACATACATTTGCAACAGCTTCTTGTGGCTCAAGACAAGAAGTTAAGGAAAACTTATTTTGAGTTACCACCAAAAAATAGTGGTAACTGAACATCATCCTAGGCTGGTTTTCCAATATTAAGAGCCCCATGTTGTCACGGAGGAATTAAACCACACAACATCCACTGGAAGGGCAGCATAGCAGGTTGTGAAATATCCAGAGAATTTCTTGCATGTACTGAGAGCAATTTTTGATGCTAGCACTGAACAGGTTTCTATGGGAGGGTTTGCATGGGACCTCATACTCATGAATGAGGAAGAACTGTTCACGCATACAATGGCCAAGAGCAGCCTTGGATGCAGTAATTGTGAAATGGTACGGTAAGATCTTGAGTAAAGAAAGGAAGGAAAGAAGGAGAAAAAGGCTCTGGACTCACAACAGTAGAGTTGGGACTTGTTCAGGGAATGGTAAGTAGAATGCCCTCAAAAGTTACAAAGGAATCTTTAAGAGCCACTCGTCTTCCTGAATTCTCTTTGTGGAGAAAAAAACAAACCCAAGTCTTCCTAACATGCAAGAATATCAGAAGACACAGCAGGAGGCCATCTGACTACACATGGGACTCTTCACTGACTGAACTCAAATGAAATAGAAACATACATAAAGTGGAAGCAAGGACAGGCAACCAGAAGAGTCAAGATGAGGAGACATGGACCAAACATGGACAATAAATTCCTTTGACCATGATGTTCACAGAGTTGTGGTCACTAATTGCAAGTCTAACTACCAACTGGGTAGATGCAGTATGCCTCAGTGGTCAGTACTGGGCAACACCTTAATCAGATTTGGATGCTTGCTAAAACAGAAAGCATCCTCAGCAAATTTACAGAGTATATAAACAGGGGAAGCAGTCAACATGTTGGAGGGCAGGACCACCATTCAGAGGGACATCAATAAACTCAAGTAAGGGCCAATATGAAAATGCAAAGTTACACAAAGACAGATGTAAAGTGTCCTGCATTTGGGAAGCAATAAAACCCTATAGTGCATTGCAACTGTAGACTGGACAGGCAGCAGCTCTGCAGAAAAGAACTTGGAGACTCCAGCAGAAAGCAAGGCCAATGTAAACCAACAGTACACTCTTAAGGCAATGAAAACTAACTGTAGTTTGAGCTGAATAAGCATGAGAACAAACAGCAGGTCAAGGGAGGTAATTATTCCCTTCTGCTTAGCACTGGTGAGGCCACATTTACAGTACTGTACAGCTTCTGATCGTGAAGCACAAGAAGTACCAGCAAACTAAAGCATGTCCAGGGAAAGGCTGTTAAAATAGCAAAAGGGCCGACACATGAAATGAAAGTCATGATGATGGAGTTTATTCAGTCTGCAGAAGAAAAGGACGCCACTACTGCCTTCATCTGTGTAACAGAGTTATAAAAATGGTGGAGACAAATTCTTGTCAGGTAAGCACAGCAAAAAGTCAACAGGCAACAGCCACATGATGTTATAAGGGAAATTCCAAATAGATGTAAGGAAACTCCTTACCATGAGGATGGTTGAGCACTGGAACATGATGGAGATTTATCAGTATCTCCAAGCAACCTTGGAGCATTTAAAAATTTGACTAGGTAAGGCCCTAAGCAACTTAATTTAGCTCTGAATTTAAAGCAGAAAATTGAGCCTGTCAATCTTCAGAGGTCCCTTGCCTTCTATTTTTTACTATAATTCTATGTTAATGCAACTGATGCTTCCATCCCTAAATGGGCAGCCTACATAGCCTATAGAATATATTACTGTGTAGTATAAAAGAATCTGTCCTGTTACCTCACAGTCAGACACATTCAGGTAACTTTGGACAGCTAAGATTCTGACTGCCTGAGTCATCAAGCTCACCTCAGCCACAGCAGCTTCAAGTTATCATGCACTGCACAGTAAAATCTATAAAAATGCTAAAAATCACTGTAAAGTAGTACTTGGGATTTCAGTTCTGAGCACTCTCTCTGTATAAAAGGGATCTTTTAATCCTCAGTCAGTGTAGCTAGCTTACTCAAAATGTTTCCTTCCATACTCTTATCAAAAAGTTTTGTTCTTTGGCAGCTAGTATTAATACTAGAATGTATCGACCATCAGCTAAAAACCTGCTTCTCCACACTGACCAAGGCTGAAACAATTGCAATCCATATGTTAAGTAACTGTATAGGGCAGATCTTCTTAAAAAATTGCTACACATTAAAAAAAACACAACAACTTCTAATGGGAAAGGTATATAATCTGGCTTCTTTCATTCCCCTCTAAGACTGTAGCGAAAAAGAAACTGTCAAGCTGAAGATTTCTTTTAAATACTATCTGTGAATGATTCGGAAGCAAATTCAGGTTAACAGTACTAGTTTGTAACTCAAAATTAAGGGAGCTCAAAACTGACTGAAAAGATAACAAGAAGGAAAAAATCTAAGACAAAATCATAAGGCATTTTCAAAAAGGAAGGCAAACAAACCAAATTATTCTATCTTCTATCAATACACACAGTGTAAGAAACAAGACTGTCTCTGAGTACTTGGAGACTAAAGTCCTGGGACATAGCCACTCCCCTCCATCCACCCTCAATTTGAGCTCTCTCTCTAGCAGGTATCAGAGGCTCAAATAACCCATCTGTGCTGCCTACTCTTATCAGCCCCCCTTTAATTGCATAGGTGTCCCGGTACAGTTTCTACCATGGTAAGTCCTCAGAGGCAGACCAGTAAGGAGAGATCTCCCAGGTTCCCTGTAATCACAGTGGCTGGTCACACCCTTTCAAGTTCATAAATTAACACTGGACATCCTCTTGAAAGATACTGCTCTACTTCAAGCAACTACACTTGATACAAGATTTGGTAATGTTTTTTGGCTCATATGAAACAGGGAGTAACGCTCATTATTAAATCCATGTTGACTTTACAATAATAAAGATCTGAAAAATTATCAATATAAACGGTCAACCTGCCCTAATATAGTGTAAGACAAGGCCATAGAAGAACAATACTAACAACAACAAAAAAAGATCATAGCAAAGCTTCTTTCCATGGTCTTTCTACTAGCCACTTTTTCCCTTTTTTTTCCCCCTAATAATGCTCATAACTGCAAACAGATAAACAGAGCTCTTGGTGCAGGAGGTCACCTTCACAAATGCTTTATTTGCACACCACCTATTCACTTAAGTGTTCTCCTCTCCTATATGCCATCCTGTTACATTTATTTTAAACCCTTCTCTTAAGAGAATTCAAGTAAGATGGGTCTGTAATGGATCCAACAGCAGGGCAAGAACAATGCAGTTCTGTGTTGACTTATAAAAATTGCTTCTTACATTCTAAACATAATCCCCCTGCATCTCTAGAATCAACAGAAAAATAAAGCACTCATACAGTGCATTCCATGTTAGTGTTTATAATTTACAGTGACATGCAGTTTATATTGATCAAGATGCTCATAAATATTAAGACAAATAAATGGAACATCTGAAATTATTTTTAAGGATTTGGGCTTCTCATTTATAAAAGCAAAATATGTTTATTAATCAATAAATTGAGGAAAAGCAGCCTAAGTAAATGTTCTGTATACACAACTACAAAAATACAGCAGGCTTTTTTTTTTTTTTTTTTTTTTTTTTTAAGTTGTATTTAGAGGAAGATTCTGCCTGGAATATAAACATTCATTGATAGATTTTATGAAAAGAAAAAACTCAAAGACAACTATGCACATATTGCATACAGAGCCATGAAAAGTGCCACCATCAGAACAATGATTCACCAATACATGAAGCTGTATGAATATGGTACATGGTTAGCCCTACACTTCCAATTTTTCCCCATATGAAACATGTTAGTAGCAAGAACCTATTTTTACAGTGAAAGTATTGCCAAGAGTTATCTCTAAAGATAAAGCTGATATTACAGTATGTGAACTTCAGCTTCGCAAGTATGGCAAAAAGAAAAACTTGAACAATGCTAAATATTTGCATTGCTATCATAGGTGAATATTGCTTTAGAGGCAAAAAATAATCTCTAGCTGAAATGCACTCTATGTAAGAAATTCAAGGTTAATACAAAATCTTTCTCAGCTCCTACTGCCAAGTTAACACACAGCAAAGATATCATAGGAAAAAACAAGTTCAGTGAATACAAGTCATTAGATTGATGGCACTGTAATCAGAAATGCACTTTTTCAGTACAATGCTACCAGTATATGAACATGAAATAAGCTCTGCAAGTATCTGCACTCTCTCCTTTGATGCATGTATCTTGTCTAAACTATTGCATCTTCATCATCAGAATTTCTATAGAGGAAATATTCTGTATGCATGATTAAATCAGCAATTCTATCTCACACAAAAAAGCAAAACCAGCAGACTGATATCTTGAGTTCTCTTGTTATGAAAGTATTTCCTCTAAAGGAATCATCTATCTTAATCAGAACTGTATTTTTTTTATCTAATTCCCAATCAGAAAAATAGGTCTCTGCTTCCTACATTACTTATCTGCATTCACTGCTCAGTTGCATGAAACATATACAACTATTTAA